ACTGTACAGTTTACACTTTACACACCAATATGAACACAGAAACTCGAGCAATTTACAGGAACAGCTTTGAACAAAGAAAAATAAGAACCACTACAGAAGAAGAAAAAAAAATCAGGAAAAAAAAACATCAGCTGCAGTTCGGAGTTTGGCGTTCGTGGGACCTAATCGAAAACACCATTTTCTAGCCGAATACGAAACGCTACAATCGTCCCATGCCAACAAAAACATGGGTTTTTTTTTTTTCAACCTCAGAAAGCAAAGAACTTCTTTTTCTTCTTCTTTTTCTCAATGTAGGCAAGCAACTCTTCTTGTTGAGACAAAGCTTGTTCAAGAACCTGAAAAAAAAAAACCCCGAAATCAATTCATGCAGGCGAAAAACACTGAAACGAATGAATGTCGTTAATTCACTTTATAGACCTTTCTTGCATCCGAGAGGTCTTGTTCGAGGGCCTCGACTCGGTTCAAGGCGTTAGTGAGGAGCTCGTCTTTTTCGGGCGGAATAGACGAGGGCTTGGTTTGTAGTTGGCCCACTTTCTCCTCGAGCTCGTTCATGCGTTTCATCATGATCAAGTAATCGGCCCTTGAGATTGGGGCGTCGGGCGGGTCGAGCACGTGGGCCCGACTATGAACGACCTCGTTTATGGAGCTCGAGTAGAGTGTGGCGTTGGTCAACTTCTTGGGCATGTTACGCGTCATTTTCACCATTGTCATTACACCCATCACAAACGTCAACACGCCCGTAAATAGGTGGTTGCTGTTTTTCTCCGAGGCTTTGTACGCGGTATAGACATCTGAAGCTATACCAAGACGAAACGTGAAAAAAAAAACGGGGCTATTCGCGTGATTATGCCAAACAATTATTAGCATAATTTAGGCTAAATCGCAATTTTAATGCTATTAGATTATGAAGGTAGAAATTTAGGTCTTATTGGAGTGACATATAGCATCAGAATTCCCTGATATATATATTTGTTGGGATGTATTTTGATTAGCAATTTAAGACTTGTAATATAAAATTTTGTTGCAAATTCAATCTTCTCAACAGCCAATTTGGGAATTTAGCGGTAAAAAGTCATAGCAAAATTTTAAACTACAAGGCTTAAATTGTTATGTGTTACTCCAGTAGGACCTAAATTGTAATTTCAAATCAAATAGGACCAAAATTGCAATTTAATAAGCAATTTAAATTGAGAATTTTGATGACCAAACGACAAAAATCGTAGCAAAATTTTAAATTACCATGTCACTCCAATAGGGACCTAAATTGCTACCTTCATAAGCTGATATAGCTAAATTTGCAATTTAGCCCATAATTTATGTGTTTTCATAATAAATGAGCTTAAGAACTAGTCATGATAATGTACCTTTAGTGAGAGCTAAATTGTTGTTTTGTGCCGTCTTTTGCCAATTTGCGGCGACAGACTTTTCGATCATTTGAACATGTTCGTCTGGTTCAAGTGCCTTGGGAGAGTTCTTGGTCACCTGAAAGGGATTATTTACTCGGTAGTTAGTCGAGCAATTTCATGGATAGGATTGCGAAATGTCGAACAAAAGTAGCTAAAATGTAGTCTAAAGGTGAAAAATAATAAGATGTGTTACTTCTTCATGAACTGGAGAGAGCTGTGTATGCGCCGTAAGACATCTCTTAGAGTCGCCTTTCAAGTCGAAAGAGTTGTTTCTCTGCAAATTCACGTCACATTCATTCATCGGTTCATAATACAAGTGAAAAAAAAAATAAAAATAATGAGAATCACGTGGTACAAAAGAATTCAAGATGCAAGTTAAAATGCATATAACGATTAAAACACTTGGTACCTTCGAAACAAAACTCTCATCCTCCAAAACAGCCTTCTCATCCACAGACAAAATGACCATTTTGTTCGAGCATTTGTGTTCGCCATTACGGACCATCTGACGAATGAAAATTCAATAGCAAATTTTCATAATGTCACATATTTGATGTGTTATGAAAACTAAATAGAGAAAAATAGAAAAATATAGGTACGTGTAGAAGTTAGGTAGTTCAGTAAAAAAAAAACTGACCTTCATAATATCAGTGTCATTCCACGGGCCCTTGTCCGAGACCATACAACCACCCTTATCTTCACAGGTGCATTTCCCTCCCAAAAACTCAGGTAGCTCACTGGTTAAAAAGAAAGAATTGGTAGAGTTTAATTTCATATAAGCTTTTAAAAAAAGTTATATTAACCATAGCAAATTGTCAAAAGTTGTGTCTGCAAACAGAAGCTAAAAGTTGATGATAATAATAATAATAATAATAATAATAATAATAATAATAATAATAATAATAATAATAATAATATTGAATTTAAAATTCAAACCAATGCACAGCTCCTTGCCATTGCCTTTAAATTGAGACATTAAATATATACCTTGCATCAATGATCTCAAGCAGCTTGCTCTGATATTTGTTACCCAAAACCTGGTAAAAATGAAAAAAGAAAAAGAATATTGCCTTAATTCTAATCACATTTTTAGGAAATATGTATTTTTTTTTTAATTTTTTTTTGTTTAAGTAAACTTGAATATATTAGTTTTACATGGATTTTGGCAGTGGTCTTTGGATCAAGGAATGATTTGACAGTGTTCCATAAGAGCCTAAACCCTGATCCAGCATTGATTATATACATTTGGCACAGGGTCTGAAAGAAAAAAACGAAAGAAAAAAAGAATGATCATAGAGTATTCAAACTACAAAGTATTTAAAAACCAAACGAACCGAAAGTTAAAGCGAAACATAAAATAAATAAACAAATAAAGAATAAGGTACCTCGGGGTAGTTATCACCATCAATCTTCTGAAGGCGCTGAATGAGTTCCCTAGCAGCTTTATTGAAATTTTTCAGTCCCTATAAACGATCAAACCTATTTTTTAATATTCATTGTTGTAATAAAAAAAGACTACTCTTATAGCATTTTATCAACGGATTTCATCAAAGGTTTCTTGACGAACATCATAGACATTTAAAATATTGAAAAATGTGGCCATGGGTTTTGTATAAGGCAAAGTTTGGTAACCAAATAAGCTAACTTATAGCTTATTTATCTAGCTTATAAGTTTCATGTATTCAGATAAGCTTCGTTTGGTAGGACAAGCTTTTTTAAAAAGCTTGACATTGGGTAGCTTTTCAAATAAGCTCGTCGAAAATTTTATTTCAACTAGCTTATCAACTAATTTTACCAAACACTTTTATCATATAAGTTTGCTTTTCAACTATAAGTCATAAGTTATAAGTTATAAGCTCGAAAATCACTTGCTACCAGCTAGTTTTAGCAAACATAGCCTAAGTAGAAATTAAACCTCAAGAGTAAGTTTCGAAAACTAGTTATAATAATATCACTCACAAAACACAAAACCGAACTTACCACTCCTTGGACATCCAAAATGGTCGTGCTTTGGTCGATATACTTTTTAGCCGCAATCGAGCAAGCCGGGAATTTGTCGATGAAGGTCCTCTCAAACTCCTGCACGTGGTACTTAAGATACCTATCTAATGTTGTGACCTGCATGAGCTTTGTGGGGTCCACTTGACCGAGCTTCTCGATGTAAACGGGCCTACCAATCTTGTCCACCCCATGATGTCCGTGTGGGTAGTATTTAACAACCTCGTCCTTCTCCTTGAAATCAAAGTCCTGTCTCAGAAAGCATTTGAAGGGATAGAAATTAAGAAAAAAATCTACTTTCGGATCGAATAAGATATATAATATATTTACGAAAAAGGCACCTCCATGATGGAGTCAGCGCCAAATTCTTTCCTCCATTGAAGCATATCGGCCCACATTTGCTTTGTTTTCTCGATATCAAATTTCCTGGCCTTGAGGAACCTGTTTATTTGAGCCAACAAGATTTCTCAACCATGATTCTTTCCCAATATACAAAAAATAAAAAAAATAAAAAAAAAAAAAGTCTCCCCCGAGGTTTAAACTAACACAAAAGAAACCCAAAAAATGATTATAACACTCCGAGTTTCATCTAAGGGTGTGTACCATAAGCTAGCTTTTAAGGTTCATATATTAAACTAGGGTAGGACAAGTGTTTTTTAAAAAACTCGAGTTCTCATAAGTTTCTTTTCCAAATAAGCCCGTTGAAATTTGTATTTTAGCTAACTTATCAGTTAATTTTGCCAAACATTTTTATCATATAAGCTAGCTTTTCAGCCAAAAGTCATAAACTCGAAATTCACTTAGAGTATGTTTGGTAAGCAGCATAAGCTAGCTTATAGCTTATTTGGTTAGCTTATAAGCATCATGTATTCAGATAAGCTTGGTTTTCTAGGACTATCTTATTTAAAAGCGTGAACTTATCCATAAGCTTTCTTGATAGCTTTTCAAATAAACTCGTTGAACTTTTAATTTCACCTGGATTATCAACAAATTTTACCTAACACTATTGTAAGCTAGCTTTTCAGCATCAAATCATAAGCTATAAGCTCGAAATTCACTTATAAGCTATCAACTAACTTATTTTACCTGAGGAGCATATGATAATCGTCGTGTTTGGTGGGAAGAAGCTCCTCGAGAATGAGGACCTGGCGGAAGGCATCGACCGCCTGAAGCTCCTCGGCATCGTGTTCGTCTTCAAGCACAACCGACATTACTCGGCTGTTCCTTCTGCCTCGTTTGTTCAATGAGTTCCGGAACTTGTTCGAGGCATTTACGGCTGCTTTCTTGAGCGAACCCAACCGAGTCTTCCTCTCGTCGTCTAGACATTCCACGTCAGTCTTCTCGAGACCTAGCCATTAGCCGAATGAAAAGAATTTGTTATTATTATTATTATTTTATTTTTTTTCTTTACTAAATTACATTTGATGATGATCCAGAGACCCAAGGCAAATCAACATGTTTGTTTTCTATAGAAGAAAAAACGGAAATGATGTATGTTCGTTCTTACTTGGCGTGAATGTGTTTTCTCTAGGTCCCGACATGATCGTGTTAGCAAGTTCTGATCAAAAGTCGAACTTTACAATCTCAACTGCCTGCAAAACGTTAGAAATTAACGCGGTATTTTATCTCACGGCTCGTTTATGTGAAATATGAAAGCTATTAATGTGCAGAATTTCGAAAATCTCATGAGTATACACAAGAAAACACAATGCAGAATAGCTATTCGCATTAATAATCTGACCATAAGCGAAGCTCAAGACGACAATACCTCCATAAATCATAAAAACAAAAAATTAACCAAAAATGTGATCAAGAGCCCCAATTAATCAACAATAACTCCACATTGTACAAAACCCAGAAAACATCAGCAGATCATGAACACACAATTCTACATTCCCAGCTGGGTAATCAAGAATTACTTCAAATTAAAATTAAAATAATAATAAAAGTAATTACCAATATATATCTGCATATACACAATAAAGATTGAATTTTTACCTCCACAATCCCTAAAAGAAAAATTAACCACAATTGTGATCAAAAAAAGCTCCAAATAATCAACAATAACTCAATATTGTACAAAACCCAGAAAACTTCAGCAGATCATGAACACACAATTCTACATTCCCAGCTGGGTAATCAAGAATTACTTCAAAAAAAAAAAAAAAAAAATCCCAAAAGAACCAAAAGAAAAAAAATAATTACAAATGTAAATCTGCTACACAATAAAGATTGGATTTTTACCTAATTATAAAAGCTGGAGCTTTGTGAAATTCTTGGGAGGGGAAGAAGGAGAGAGAAAGTAGGATAATAGAAAGTTAGAAACAGAACACATTGAGCAAATCAAGAGAAAAAATTGAGGTTGGGAGAGTCTTTTAGCTCCGAGATACCCTCGAAAAAAGCCTATGGCTTTGCAAAACACAGAAAAAATCAATGGCTGCCCATTATTCATGGGCTCGTGTTCTGTTCTCTCTCTCTCTCTCTCTCTCTCTCTCAAAGCACCATAAAATTAAAACCCACATAGAGAAAGATACGAATATTGGCTTTTGAGAATCTCTTGTCTATATGCTTCTATGTGTGTATGAGAGAGAGAGAGGGAGAGAGAGAGAGAGAGAGAGAGAGAGGGAGAGAGAGAGATTGCGAAGAAGAGAACTCCCCGTTTTTAGGTTCGTATCAACAAAGGCCTTCTCTGTGTTTGATTTCCGGGGAAAAACAAAACTCAATAATTAATATTTAAACAAACTTATCTATATTACACTTTTCATAGATAATACTATGTTGAGTTGACTTAACACATTATATATATTTTAATATTGTATATTTATGTTATTAAATGTCATATTTTTATCTATAGTACACCGTTTGCATTCAAATAGCATATAGTTAATTGCAATTGTTTTGACAAAAAATGTTTCTATGCTCTCTACTAGAATAAAAGAACTCCAGAAAAAAGTCTTTCGATGGTTATACCTATTATTTGACGACCTAGAACTTTCAATAGCAGCCGAGAACATTAACGAGAAGAGGCGAGAGACTTCTGATATTACTACAAGAGGAGCTAGGGGTGACTTACCAGTCCGATGCCTTGGAGCTTGGCTTTATTCCACCAAAGCCGGTATAGGACTTGCTCTTTTCTTAAAAATGAAAAAGGGCGTCTCTTACTCCCGAGCTACTGAAGGGAAATCTGATATTTCGAAGCTTGAACTGGGAAGGGCCACACATTTTTGACTACTCTGTGCACAAAATAAATAAAGATTGATGAAGACAAGAGCAAGGTAACAAAAATCTCCCTCTCTTTATTCCTGATTGCAAAATCTCAAACAAGTGGACATGCACTAATTGTAGGTACTAGGTTGTTTCACCAACTAACAGAAGTAAACTCATCAGCAACTGAAGATAATCAGAAGATTTCACATTGTCAAACATCTGTAAGTAAGGTGATTAATGGTGCGGTTCAGTGAAAAACCGCATCAAACCACAAAAAAATCAAAAAACCAAATCCATAAGAAAATAATCGAACTGCATTGCAGTAGAAAAAATCGAACCAAATTTTTTACATTGAAATAACCAAACCGAACCGCACTGAAGTGCATGGTTCGGCTTGATTTTCAATTTTATCGCGATTTCTATATATTTTATAACCACACCGTACCGCACCACAATGTAGGAAAAAAAAAGAAAAAAAAAAAAAACTGAATCGAATCGCACCAAATTGCACGTTGGATTCGATTTTCCGGTTTTGGCTTGGTGTTGCACCAAGTGAGGAGAAAATAGAATGTAACTGGGCCGGTGTAATGGGCCTTTCATCCAAATGCAAAGGCCCAACGGGCATTAGGCCAACTACTGCATTCACTGCAGTAAAGCAAGCCAATCAAATACAAACTTCACATTGAAGGCCAGGCTTTTAAAAGAGAGCTATACACCATAACATTTGACTATGCAGCTGAATTGCTCAATAAGAAAAACTGTTCATCAACACAAATCATTAAGCAAATACTAACAAAAAGTTCCCAAATGATGAGCCTCCCAAGTCATGCCATTACATTATTCACCACACACTTTCAAAGTTAACTCAAAACCAAATCACCATTCTCATTTCTCACTTCATTTTCGATCTTGTCTTGTTTCCCAGATTCTAACACAGTCGCATCAGAAGATTCGGAACTCTTACTCGTACCACAATCTTTGACCTTGTCAGCTCCAATCTCCTCAAGAAACCCAATCAAAATTTTCAATGCATTAGCAGCCTCATCCTTCTTAAGTATCCTTTCACTCATCTCCTCAGGAGCTTCTTTAGCTTTCTTCAAGATTTTGTTAATCCCGTCAAAACCAAGACCAGTCTCCAAATTCAACTCAACCCCTTTAGTCACATCCAAGTTTAGTGCTTCAGTCTCCTTTTTCTGCTCGAGGAACTTAATAAGGCCCTCGAGCGAATTTGTAGGATCGTCACATTTCAAAAGCTGTTCGCCAACTTCAGCTGGGGTCACTTTGGTTGAAGCTATCAGTGACTCGGCTTTGGGCACGAGCGGGTGCTCTGTAGTTCCCAGGTAGTTTTTTGCTAGCAATTGGAAGCCACAAGGGGTACAATATGACATGTGGATATGGACATCCATGCGGCCGGGCCGTAAAAGGGCCGGGTCGAGTTTTTCTTTGTGGTTGGTTGTGAATATTATGATACGTTCGTCCCCACAGCTCGACCAAAGCCCGTCTATGAAATTCAGCAGTCCTGATAAGGTAACCTGAAGAAAAAAAAAAAAAAAAAAAAAAAAAAAAAAGTGGGTTTATTATAATGTCTTGATTTTGAGTCTTGCGACGTTTTATCGTGCAGTCGTGTGTTATCTACCGTGTTTCGTCATATTATAATTCACATATATGAAATTTGTTATTTTCCAAGTCCCGTGTTATTCTGTACTGTTTTCTTTCTACAATTAATGTTATGGAATTTTGCATTGCTATCAAAGTAGCCATGCATTCACTTTGATTAATGATATACAGGGATTCCAACATGGAAAAAAAGTAACATGCATAAAAACTTATAAAACACAAGTAAATCTCAACCGAATTCATTGGTGGTAATTCAGAATGCCGAATTCGGACAACATTCACCATATGCACCTGATCTATCTAGCGAGTATTAGCAAGCTTTACCCCTTAATGTCAGCTCTAGAAAACATAGCTAAGATCTACGTCAAAATTTTCCTCGTTAACATGAAAGAAATATCTATTGCCGAATTCTATTATGCAAATCTAGCATACATCAAACTGTAATATAATTCACCATATACGCCTAATTTATCTGAACAAGTATTAGCAGACCATGAGCATTGGCAAGCTTTTATCTCGTAACTACATTTGATAACACACAAAGCAAGGCTAGAGTTAGAATAGTTCATTTCTTGATAATATGAGCCAAAAAAATGCTTATGAAAACTTGCCTTTTCTGTTTGAGTACGATAGTGACCATACATCGGCATAGGAGGCACTTTCTTCACAGCCGAGTTTCTCTTACACAAGTCAATAGACGCGTCAATGTCTTCCACCACAAGAATCGACCTATTCTCGGTACAAAGGAGCAGCCTCCTCAAATCCGAATTGGTCCTAATATCAGCCAATTCCAAGTCATAAACATCGAACTTCAGGTGATTAGCCATGGCCGCAATCAAGCTCGATTTACCAGTCCCCGGTGGCCCGAACAGCAAATACCCCCTTTTCCAAGCCTTTCCCACCCTCCTATACAGCTCTTTCCTCTTCAGAAACCTATCGAGATCCTCGATTACTGTGCTCTTGACCTCATCATCCATCGCTAGGGTTTGGAAATTAGCCGGGTGGTCGAGGCTTACCGACTGCCATAGGCTCCCGCCCATCCCCTGCATCCTTTCGTTCAGAGTGTGAAGTTTCAGAGTCTTCTCCGCCTCCTTCACGGCCTTCGACCGCTCGACCACGTACGGGAGGTACTCGTCGACGACCAACCTCCTGTGACTCTTGTGAAATGTCAGCTCGAGGTGCCGGATCTCGACATTCGCGCCGCCCTGCCCGCCTGGCCGGGGAGGGACGGCTTTAGACTGTAATAATATTTTATATATTATTCAATTATTGTGGACCATATAATTAGTTAGACCTAATTGAATTAATAGTCAAACTTTATTAAAGATGAATATGTATTTAATAGATTATTTAATGTTCTAATATTAAAGAGTCCAATGTGTGATGTTTGACTTGGACAATAAGTTAGGTTAGAACATGGGGAATGTTAGTAGGAATAAGATTGTAGGTCTCCTCCTATATATATTACTACATGCCCCTCTCTCCCATCTCATACGAAATAAAGTTCTCAACATCAAGGACTTTATGGAAAGACGAGAGACGAGGGAGAGAGAAACAATTCATAGGGAAAGACAAATCCATCATTGGAGGAAGAGGATTGGAGATTGGAGAAAGATCAACATCATAAATGAACAGGGAAGGACTATAGCTGGGTTCTTGTAAGTTTTATGTGCAATTTAATTTATGCAAAGATCCATGTTCTATGAATTGATAGAATTATATGCTTAGGGTTTATTCAATTCCGCCTAATAGTTATGGATATACCCGTTAAATTTCTTACATAGACGTGCAAACCATACGCCACCTCAACTTCGCGCCGCGGTACTCATCGGCGGCGTCCCCGTCCTTCCCGACCGCCACGTGGATCTTCTTCTCCCTGTCGGGGAGCGAGGCGCGGAGGGACCGCGTGGTGGGGCCCGCGATCGCGCTCGTGTAGAGCTCCGCCGCCTGGAAGAGGTGGTTGCGGGCGAGGCCGTCGTACTCGTCGATGACTAGGGTTACCTCGCTGGAGAGCGCGTTCAGCGCGTGGCAGAGTTTGGTGAAGAGGTGGTGGCGGAGCTCGTGTGGGAGGAGGTCGTGGGCGAGGGAACGGATGAGCATGGCCGTCGCCGCCAGCGAAGCGGCGGTGGAGAGGGTTTTTTTGGCCGACGGGAGTTGGAGTTTAGGGTACATGGCTCTGAATTACTTTTGCTTTTTTTTCCTTTTTTTTTCAAATTTTGTTTTGGTCTGTGGGAATGAACAGTACAGTGCCCTACTGATACATTACAGACGCCTACCTGGGGACCGGGTTGGGATTATTGGAAATGAAGGGGCCAAAAACTAATTTTGGAACTCATAACTGCTTTCCTAGATTCAACATTCAAGTATATTACAATTACAATTTGTGGATAATTACAGAACAGCCTGTGAGTTTTGAAATATTATAATATAATGAAACCCAATTCTTTTTTAATCATGCATTAACATATTAAAGTTGTTAAACGAAATGGGTTGTTCGTGAGTTCAAGGTTGCCTCGTTTAATCTCGTTACTCGAGAGTACAAGTTTTTACGTTATTTTTTTAGACTTTTAACTTAAATTGATTCACTAATGATTGAGTTCGGCTAGCTAATATTATTAATAAATAAAGTCGGGTTCGAACTTGTTTATTGATATACTCAGTTAATAAATTGAACTCGATTTGACTCGACTAGATAAAAGCTCGAGTTCAAACTTGACTTCCTGTGGACGAACTTTGAAAAGGCGTTTTAAGTGATTATCACAAACCTATGCTTCATTGAAGCTCAGCTCGAAACAGAAAATCTTTGCTCGGTTGGTTAGAAATGATAAAAAATAAATAATTTTGTACCAATGTTGTGATTCTGAATTTTGCCTCTAAAAAAATTAGAAAAAAAAAATCAAAAACATTTCAAATTGATTGGAAAAATAATTTTAAATTAAATTGCGGGAAATATGAATTTTTGCAGCTAAAAAATTTAGTTAGAATTGAAAACGAACAAGTTCGAGCATGTAAGCCCTGAGGCTATCACGACCAGTGTTGCATGGGTCCGTCAAAATCTACGACACTTTTTGAACTAAATACACACACCAAAGCATTCTTTTTAACCGGGCTAAGGACCAATTCAAAGAGGATAATTGATCTACAGTCAAAAAGCTTTCTAAGTCGTTTAATAATGGATTAGTTCGATCTAAAACTTGAGCATTAACCGTGGCCATTAGATAATTAATGTGTTGGAACATAAAATCTCGTAACTTCATGTGTTCATTGGATTTCTTCATTTCTTGTGAGATCTATACATCAGTAAGTTCACCGACTTCTCGTGTATCTTGAAGTGCCACTTTACAAAAATCGTTGTATTTTGGAGATATTTATCGATAACTGGGGGCACTAATCAGTGTCGACAATTTAATTATCTTACGCAAAGTGTGTTTCATGACGTATCTCGCCTTTGTTAATTAATATTAATTCTTTGTTCGAGTGTGTACTAAGTTTGTTTTTGTTGTTTTACCACGCCGTAAATTAACACATTTTTACCTAAAAGAATAATCAGATTTTGAAGTATAAGAAAATGGAACAAATTTCCTTTGCTCAACTTTGTTCAGCAAAGGGCAATGGATGCAAGAATAATGGAATATTGTAAGAATTTTGTGATATAAATGATATCTTTCACTTTTCATTTTGATCCCGGCCCTTTTATCAGAAAAAAGAGGGGCAGTGCTGAGCAAGAGCCGAGTCATTAGACAAACTGTATCACATTCATATTCTCTTTTCGTGGTTTATACGAACAATTTTTGGTTTAAAGTTCGAAAATTTCCGGTGTTAGAACGACAGGACGATGCATATATATGCGTATATGACATGGAAGCATATATTCATGTACGTACCAATAATTCCAAAATAATGTTAAGAATTTGGATTATACTGTTTTCACCTAAATATTCCTTGATTTTAATGTTGCTATCCAAGTGAGTAAGATGCTGCAGAATTTCATTTGCTGAGCCAAATATTTTCCAGATAGGGGGAAATAGAGTTCTCGGAGAAATTTTTTTAACATGCATTCTATTTTACTATTTTATGAAGTGTTATTGGAATATATACTGTATTATAATTTTTAAAGTATTATCAATTGTTTAAATCTCTATTCTTGGCCATAATTTGTAACATGAAATTCAAAATTCAAGTTGTGTTGTTTTCTTTATCAACATTTAAAGGATTAATTGATTGTAAATGTGAGAATGTGGGAAAAATACCTCAGGTATTACTCACTGAGGTATGTTGATGTATATAAAGACAAAATATGGGCTTATGTTGGGCATCCTTAATCTTTCTAACTCTATAATACATAATACAATTGCTATATAATTAACACCCTCCTCAAACTCAATGTGGTATAGTGGAGATCAACTTGAGTTTGCTAAGAAGCAAACAAAAGCGACCGGGAAAGAGAGACTTCGTGAAGAGATCCGTTGTTGAATGAAGTGACAATCAATCTCAATATGCTTGGTGCGCTCATGAAAGCTATTATTATGAGACATCTTTATATCACTCCGACTATCACAATGTAGAGCAGTAGACGACGACATCGAGATCAACAAGTAGCCGACGTAACCATAATAGCTTGAAGGTGGAATCAGCAAGAGCACGATACTCAGACTCAACACTCGATCTAGAAACTAAAGTTAATTTTTTCTTACTACGCCAAGAGACGAGTGAATCACCCAGAAAGAAGCAGTACTCGGTAATGGAACGACAATCAGTAGGATCTCCAACACAATATGCATCAGAATAGCCGCTACGTGTCAAGGAAGAATTGGTCGCGCTAGAAGTGTAAACCATGCAATATAGTGCCTTTCACATAGTGAAGAATGTGCAACACAGCAGAATGATATGTGGTTCTCGGAGCAGCCATAAACTTAATCACAATATGAACAACATGAGCTATATCAGGCCGAGTGACAGTCAAATATATCAACTCTCAACAAGCTGACGATATAATGTAGGATCCTCAAGAAGAGAATCATCAAGTGGAATAAGAAGGACATCATAATCAAGAGGTGTGGAAGCTGCCTGACAATCAGTGAGAACGACCCGAGCAAAAAGATCATAAGCATACTTGGCTTGAGACAAATAAAAGCCATCAGTGGAATCAGAAATTTCAAGAACTAAAAATAGCGAAGCTGGCCCAAACTCTTCATCTCAAAACGTTGTTGGAGATAGTCATTTTAATTATATAATAGTTGTATTATCATCTTTTTGCCTTCCTAATCCGACAACAAAGTGTATTGTAGGGTTAGATTAGATTAAGGAGGCCAACATAAGCCCATATTTTGTCTTTATATACATGTACATACATTTGTGAATAATACATCAAATATTTTTCTCACATTCTCACATGGTAGCATATTAGGTTTAGAGTTCAATATAGACTTGATATTTTTTTGCTCGTCTCCGGCCGTCGTCAACTCTCACCTCCCACACCATCCTCCGACGAGCCGACGCTCAAGATTTTGACTCATTTGGCGCCATGTAGGGCCCACACGCGCCCAAAATTTTGATGAAGAACGTATTTTTTAACATACATAACATATTATGTAAGGCTAATTAAACACAAAAACGATGAATTTTGCATAATTTTTTTAACAATATTATTAGTTCATGAACAAATTGTGCTCGACTTGATAAAGGTTCGAAAATGAGCTTGATCTCGACTCGAATGGTTTAAAACTCTGTTAATATTAATATTAAGTAACTAAAAGAGATCCAAACTCCAAAGTTCCCACATATATATGTCCTTAATTAACTGAGTAATTACTAATTATACAACATCACTCCTCAAAAATTCGTATTTTCCAAGGAAC